TATTAAAAACATTATAATATATAATCATAACCATTAAATGTGTAGGGTATAATATAACTCCTAATTTTATGAAATTCATCATGTGATTATTATTAGATATTTTGAAAATTTTAATAACAGAATATCCTAATTTTCTCTTTTTTTAATTAAAAATAATTATTTTTTATTTAAAAAATTATAATAAATCTTATCTATTAAAAATGAAATCTATTTATGTATAAATCTTGCATTTTATATTTATATAGAAACTTGACTATTTATTTTTTATTTTTAATTGTTGAAATTTATTTTTTAATCATTAAAAATAAAAAAAATAAATAATTGACATTTCATATAAATTTAATGTATAAAATTTTTCTATAAATAGATTATTTTGTTATATATATATATTTCAGCATATTCTGATGTTACATGTGTGTCATCTCCATTCAGTTGGAGAACAAATGAAGTCAGTAGAAATTTTTTTTTTGGTTTTTATGGTAAGTGCTTAGGAGTGGGTCCGTTGAAAAGGGCTCTTTTTTGGCATATTATTTTTGGGACGAAATATACCAAATTCCTTGGTGGTTTGGTTTCCTTTTTCTTTTCTTTCTACATACACTAACTGGTATGTTTATACCATAAAATATTTTAGTTTTTTCTTTTTAACGTATTGACTATGTTATTTATATAATATTCTAATATTTAACGGTTTTATAGTATATAACATAAAATTAAGCAAGTGTATATACATATTAATTTAAACGTGACTTTTAAATAAAAAATGTTAAACACAAACGTTATGTTATATTGTGTAAAATATTGTATTTAAAATAATGGTAAATGTAACATTTTTGTTATATATTAAACAATTACAAAATGATTCAAACAAAATATTCTCTTTTTTTTTTTTAAAAAAAAAGGGCAAAAACTTACTATTTATGTACGAGACAGTAATTATAACTTAGTAAACAATGTGTAACTCAACATGCATTTACTCTTTTTTTTTTTTTTTTGGGATGAAACATGCATTTACTCGTATTATAATGTGTAACTCAAACATCCATTTCCTCAGCTCCTCTAATATCCTGTAGCTGTTGAATAATTTCATTTTTTATTTTTTATAATTTATGGTAAGTCTTAAATAAATTAAAAATTTATCTATTGCATTTTAAAACATAATAAATGTATTATTATTTTTAATTAATTTATATTAAAAAATATAAAAACTAAATTTATTTTAACACAATTATCATATAAATATTTTTAATTGACAAATTAATAATTAATTAAAGTCAAGTCAATATTTATATATTTTATATACATTAATTACAAAAACTCATAATTTAAAAGGAAAAATGAGAACAACCGCACGATGATAAGCTTTTACAATCCAACGGTTGGCTTACAAGTCATCTTAAACATCAAGCAACCAATACATTAATTGAACGGCTGGGATGCTCCCATTTCCTCGGAACTCCGAGTGTCGGCCCCATGTTGCAATCGTGCCAGTACACAGCCAAGCAGGATTACCTACAAAAAGAAAGGAAGAATTTTTATTGGGAGAATCCAAACATAATTTCCATGAAATTGTAGGAGAGAAGCGTTTAAAATTCAACAGCTTGTAAGATTATAAGGGTGAGATACAAACCACATGGAATGGACGAAGTGCTGCCTCCACCGTAACGCCCTCCCCCCACTTTCCTTTTAGCCCCCAGTTCCTCTCCTCTCTCTTTATAACTTTGCTTGCAGCTACTTCAACACAATTCACCTCTCTCTCTCAACAAGGAGGTGGGTTTTGTTTGATTTTGTGTTTTCCTTTCTGGGTGTTCAATTTGGTGATCTGGGTTCCTGGAAATTTGGGATCTTTGTATACGGAGTGAGCGAGAAAAATGGAGGAGGGGTTATTGTGCCAGTGGAGTGTGTTCAGATCTCTTCTTGCAATTCTTCAGTGGTGGACTTTCAATGTCGCCGTGATCATCACCAACAAATGGATTTTCCAGGTCTGTTTCTGTCTTACTTTATCAATTTTGGCACCTGGGTTTAGCCTGATTTTATTATATTTTCCTTTTTCATGTATGTGTTATGATCTTCAATTAAATGATTCAGTTTTGTAATTTTGTCTCTTGTGATTTAGTTTTCTGTAGTTGATCCTGTTCTTTATTTATTCATTTTTTATTTATTATTATTATTTTTTATTTACGAGCAGAGGATCCTATTTTGATATGTTATAGAGTTTAATTTAATGCATCCCTTCTCTGGTTGGGTTCAATTGCAGTGAAAAATTTGTAACTGATCTTAATTGATTTTCAGTAACGGTTGCTGCACTATTATTAGCTTTTTCTAATCTGTTAGTTCTAGTTTCATCTGAAAATGGATGTTGGAATTCCCATGCGGGCAGTGAACAAGCTTAACAATGTAGATTACTGATTGATTCAACATGGCTTAATATATTGGCAGAAAACTGAGCTGTTCAATTACATACAATCTAATCTAACTTGCCTCTTATTTTCCTTCATTATTGCTGCCTGAATAGGCTAATGAAAGTGCTGGCTTCAATCATGGCAAAAAAAAAAAACACACACACACACACACACACCTGGCTTCAGTAGGTAATCATTTTCCCCCTTTCACCCAGTTATGCTTCTGACATGGTTTCTTTTGCAGAACTTGGATTTCAAGTTTCCCTTATCGGTATCATGTGTTCACTTTATATGCTCGTCGATTGGTGCATATATTGCCATCAAAGTGCTGAAGCTCAAACCTCTTATAGTGGTTGAACCTGAAGATCGTTGGAAAAGGATATTTCCTATGTCTTTTGTGTTCTGCATTAACATAGT